ACACTCGTCGTTCATCGGTGCAAAAGACAGAAGCACTTTTTCATAACCCAATACATTGCTGGTGGGGAAGGACGCAAAAATTGCCACGTAGTGGGTCGACCCAGACGACCAGCCGTCAAAGACAAGAGCGAATTGCTCGGGAAGCATGGCGGAGATCTTCTTCTCCATGTTGCTGCACACAATCGCCATGTACTTTAGCAAGGTGTTGGGGCAAATGCTCTCCAAGCGACTGTAATCGCGCGTCGTTTCGTTGGCGCAAAACGAGAAAGGCAGCAATGATTTGCACGTCCACTTGATCCACCCAAACATGTTGGATGCCGATGATGGCACCAGAAATTCCCGCATCGCTTCTGGCGTGGTGGTGAGAGATGTCGAGAGGTTCACGTAGGTGGGGTGCTGGCGCTTGATGTGCGACTCCATGTTTGTGTAACCAGAACCACTTTGCTTGCGTTTGTGACCGCAAGTACAAGTCCATTCGCGAGTTTCAGGGTCCGTCAGCGTGAAAAAGAGCTTGGCAAGTGCTTTTCCGTTGGGAATGGTCGATTTTAGTGGCTTGGTTGGTTTCATGGCAATTTGAAAGTAAACTGTATGAAGCTATGCGATTAACGGCACAGGTGAATGGCTCATGCACCTTGGACAGCGCATGCCAGTCATCCAACCCGAACTATTTCCGATGAAGATATGCAGCTGTATCTCTGGTGTTGGAAGATAAATTATCTTTTTGGAGACGTGCCGAAAGTACGATATTTATCCCACGTCAAAAAGATATACTTTTATGGGGTTATTTTTTGAAAGGGCCAGGTTGACGGCGAGGGAGGTCGCTTTGACCCGCGGTGCGGATGAGCCATGAAAGTCGGCACATGAGGGTGATCACAGGGAACGATTGTGGCTTCGTCAAGCCTAGAGCGCTGTCGGTGGGCGAACGTTCTGGCCGACATTGTCAAAGCCATGGACTGAATGATCAGCAGTTGTTGGCCCTGGGCGGGCAGGTGAACTCTTGCAAGGATGATCATGACTCGGTAGAGCACCGCCGCCACGGACGAACGACGTGACATGACGCTGGTGGGACCATGTAACCAGAGTATACATGCGTCTTCATGGTCTAAGTTGTGCCAGCACGCACAACTTAGACCATGAAGCCGTACTTCTTTTGCCATGGAAGTGATTTGCAAACTGTCGACAACACAACCAGAAGTTTGATGGCGTGCATTAACTCGTGTCCACAAGCGACGGGTGGGCGTTTACATCTCGCAGCAACGCATGCAGGCTGTACTCCTTCTCCGGCGCATGCGGCACCCGTGCCAGGATCGCTCCATGCTGCTTGCGGTGAAAATGCGCTTCTAATTGATGATTGGTTGAGAGAATAAATATGTTAGCCAAACGGTCGTTTGATCCGATAAAATAGAAAAATGTATTGCATTTTCCAATCAATACTTAAACAGTTTCGCCCCCGCCGATTTTGGACGACGGCGGATCAACGAGGGCGGCGTGCCATCGGCAGCCGCTCCAAACGAAGATGGAAGGCCGGTGGATAGCACGTGCTTTCTCCACAGCTCCAAGCTATCCAATGTGTGTTTGGCGTCACCAGCTTGACGGCCAGCTGTGGCTGACGTTGGAGCGGCCCCGACTGGTTGTGCCGCTGCACCATGGGTCGCTCGTTGCTGGGCCAATACGTCGCGATACTCCTCGACGTACTGTGCCCCCGACTTTTGCCTCCGTCGGGTCTTTGTTCGATGAGATTCTGTCCGAGCTTGCACAGCTCCAACCACGGAGTTCACTTGCTGAGACCGCAGAGCCGCAACCATTGCCGGCGGCTTCAACATCCCTCGAGAAGCTGACTGGGCCAACGCGATCGCCACAGTCGCCCGTTCATCGTTCGCGTTGGGTCGACGGGACGACTTCAACCTGATATTGCTTTGGGACGGCGATACCGTCATCTTGGTGACGGACGGATGCCGCTGCATGACCCCCGTGTGTTGGAGCAGGCTCGCGGTCGAGTCGACGGAGTTGAGGGCTGCATACGATTCGCTAGCGTTGAGTTCGTGCATGCACTGGGTGGCGGGTAACGTGTGAGATGTGCCTTTCATTTGACCGCCACGACTCGGTTGATGGCGCTTGCCGCCTTTGCCGAAGACGGTTCCATCGAAATGTTGGCCAGGCGGCGGGGGTGGCCCTTTTGTGCGCAGTCGGTCGAATGCTCTGCGCCGGGCGTGCCGGTCTAGTCGTCGACTCAACTTGGCGACGGGAGTCATCGCAGGTTCTCCTGGTGCATTCGGAGGGATGGTTGCATTCACGCGAAACGCGATCATCCGTTCGTCTGGGTTGAAGTTGTACACGAAAGCTTCTTCGTGCGACGCAAGGCGCACGTGCCGCGCGTGCGTGACAAATCCATGCGCTCCAGTGGACGGAGGGGTTGCACCGGCAAAACGTTGGCGGCGGTGAGTGTCGTGCGGCGACGGCGGATGGACAGAGCATTGCGACTCATGGTTGTCGTTGTTGCTATATTGGTGGAGACCCTCCTGTTCGCGTTCAGGAGCAACTCCAACAAACACACGATGACCGCGTGCTTTGTTGCCGACAAGAAACGCATCGAGCCGCCGACGAATGTGCTTTTGCTCGGCTTTCTCGGCGTTGGATACGTTGTTGGCACTGGCGATGGACGGACGGCGGCCGATGTCGGCTCGGGCAGTTTGCGGTCGCATCGATTTCGTGTTTGGACGGAGAGGCACATGGGTTGCGTCGGACGACGCGCCATTTGAATGAGGTGTCGTGCGATGCGGTCGCGCCGTTTGGGGTCGACGCAGCTGGACACATGCCCGAGGCATGGGCCTCGTGGGCAATGGTGTCGTGTCCAGGATCACCGTTGACACATCATGCACATCGTACACTACATTCAGGTACTGTGTCAATGGATCCGACTCCTTCATGCCTCCGAGTGTGGTGACAGCACAGCTTGGCAGGAGAAACCTCCACAATCATGAAACGACACGCGACAGTTATGGGGTACGTCATAATGGCAACCGCGCTTTGGACATGCAGCTACCCCAGCGTGCAAAGAGCTCTCAGCCGTCGCCTTCCCCACGTTGTCTTGACCGACGTTGCGGATGCCTCGTGCTGCTTTGTTGTCTCCCATGTGAAAAATGCGCCAAGAATCGATGATCCGGATATACTTGTGTATCCGGAATCTTCCAGTCGGTATAATTATCTCGAGGACGGCGCAATGTCCATCAGCGAAATGCTGGGTGAGTGTCGACCGACGCCTCTGTCGGCATCCAAGGAGGCTGTGAGCTCACGCGATCATCTACGTCGTAGACCCGTGGCGTCATGCGAAATCCTTGGAAGAGTACCAGAGTGAAATGCGTACGAATCGCAGGAACAGCCTCACTGACAATTTCACACCGCCCACGATCGGCCGCCGCGCGTGGAACATGTGCAAGTCGTTGCCGCACTCGCCGATTACATGGATGTTTCTCATCACCTTGGGTTGCCTCTCCGCCTTGCTAGGGTATGACACCACGTGAATGGCTCATCTTGACACGACCTGCAGGTCGCTGATGGACTATTGGATCTTCACGATCGTATCGTTGCGCCAACGCATGATTCTTGATCTAGGAGAAGACTCGTTGGCATCGTACTTGGTGTGGGTCGTCTGGACAGTCGTCTGCGGTGTCCTTGCGTCTTCCTGTGGCTACTTCATCTCTACCAACTCCGACGGGTCCGGGATTCCCCAAATGAAGGCGCTGTTGGCAGGTCAACTCGGCTCGTCGAACGTGCTGTCCTACGCAACGCTCGTGGCCAGATGCACAGGGACAGTTCTCTCGAACGCGTCGGGCCTGTCCGTGGGAAAGGAAGGGCCGTTCCTCCACATCGTGTCCATCATGGCCGACAAACTGAGCAGTCTCGCGATATTTCGCCCCACCGCCGACAACTTTACGTACATTCGAGCAGGTTGCAACGTCACCTCTAGTTTGAAATGGTCGTCGAGTGGACTTTGACACATCGACGGAATCGTAGGCGTTGCGTGCGGCGTGACCGCCGTGTTTGGGTCTCCTTTGGGCGGTGTTCTCTTTAGCATTGAAGTGACGTCGCAGTACTATGCGATCAAGTACGTCGTGGCCGTCGAGTGCAAGTTGTCACGGTGGTGGTGTCGGTAGGAATCTATGGCAAAGCGTGATCAGCTCGTCCGTGTGCGTCCTCACGTTTCAGATCATCTCGGTCCTCCAGAACGACGTCCTGTTCACCAACACCAAGTTTGCCGACTTTGAACTCGGGTGGGAGCTGCTCGGGTTTCTCTTGTTGGGCGTGCTCAGCGGGGTACGTCCTCGTCCTGGACCCTGCAAACATTGACGACGGCGTGCTTGGCACAGGTTCTGGCTGCGACGTTTGTTAAATGCGTTCAATGGCTCCATGGTATGAAGATTGCGCTCTTGGAGGTTCGACTTGATGTCCCCAACACGTCGGCTTTACGATCTTTCCTATAGAGACTCGCCCGCCCGCTCGTCCAGCGCTATTTGCACGTGGCTGTCGCTTGCGCCGTGACGGGTGTTCTCGCGTATCCATGTCATCTGCTCCGGTGGACCGACCGCGTCATCGTGAACGACATGTTCAAAGATGTGCCACTTGCCAATTTGACCTCGATCGAGCAGTCGACGACGTTTTCGCCGCACTTGTATCTCCTGCTCTATCTTGGCTTCAAGTTTGCAATCACGTTGGTGCCGTGTGGCCTACCGCTCTCGTGCGGCATCTTTACCCCACTGTTTACGTATGGTGCGGTGGTCGGTCGGCTCTACGGAGAGCTGCTCGTCGTGCTGGTGTCGCCGACTGTGTCGCCGGCAACGTACGCAGTCGTTGGCGCTGCGTGCTTTGCATCAGCGGCTACGCACACCGTGTCAACGGCCGTGATTGTGTTTGAGCTGACAGGTGGCCACGCACGACCCGATCGATCATGCACGCTAACGACAGCAACTAGGCCAATTGAGCCACATGCTACCCGTGATGCTGTCCGTCTTGGTCGCGTACTCGATCGGCGGCATGAGCTCCCCCAGCATCTACGATGTCTTTGCCAAAATCGCCGGACTCAACTTTGTCTGCGCCGACATCACAGACTCGGTCTTGGCCCACAAGATGGCCCATGAAATGATGCGGCCGGTTCCGCAAGTGCTAACGATGCATTCCACGTATGCAGATGCCGTCGCGTTGTTGCAGGTACGCTGCCCTCTTGCTTCAAAACAAAGCCACCCACACGGCGCATCGTTCGGTCCGTGATATCGAGCAGTGTGTGGTGTCGGAGGCCTCGTTCTCGATTCGTTGGTTGAATTGGTTTTTGTGTGCTCTAGTCGATTGAATCCACGAGGCATGCCGTCTACATTCCCGTATGCGACGACCGCATGACGCTGTTGGTACGTCATGCCAACCAATTTTTCGTTGGTGCATGCCATCGTTTTCTTGTTTTCGGATCCGATTCCGTCCTTCCGCTCATCGCTTTCCTTGTTTGACACGGGTGCCGTCAACAGGGCGCCGTCCGCCGCGTGGATCTGCTTCTAGTTTTGTCTCGTCTGGCCGAAAGGGTGACCGCGAACGCCGGCTCGATTGAAGACGACGATGCCAACAGCACATCGACGTCAATGCTCCATGCAACTCCAGGACCCAGTACGTCGCCATGGAATGCCCTGTTGTTGGCTAACAATCGCCCGCTATAGTTGGGCTCGAGGAAGCGGCCGAGTTGCTCTTGCACGATAAAGCGCTCGGTCGACAAACCGTAAGCTTGCAGTCCCACATGCTTTTGCCGCACTCGACATCGTGTTGTAGATTCAATTCGGCCCACCTTACGATGTTTTGTCGTATACGGCGCTCCCCATCAACACGTATCCGCCCCAGGTTAGACGGCTCGTTGAAAGTGGCAGCGCTGAGAGATCGGTTAGGTGGGGTATTTCGTTGCGCTCTCCAACGTGTACGTCCTGTCGTGCGTGTACATGTGGGCCCAAGTGTTTGTGGTCGAGGAAGGAGTGCTCGTCGGACTTCTGTCGATGGATGCGACGCTCAATAGCATCGCGTTGGACGAGGTGGTCGCGCTTCCAAACGGCAAGCCGCAGTAGCGACTATGCTTTATATATATTTAATAGACGCCTCCGTCGTCGCCATGTCGAAGTGCTGTCAAGGCCGCGGCGGATTTGTCTTGGAATGCTTGGAGGCCTTTGGCCACGTCGGCATGCGGGCGGTCCGTGCCGGGCTGGTGCTGCAAGTGGGTCAGCACTGCAGTCGCCGCGCGCTGGAGCACCTCGACGTGCTCTGCCACGACGGACGCTTCAAACGGAGGACTCAAGTCTGCGCCCATGTCGACGACAGCGTCGTAGAGTGCGTCGTAGAGAGAGGGAAACGTCGCACCCCACTGCATACATCCGTCTTGCCCGTCGGCCACTGAATTCAGCGCTAGCACGCCCTTCTTTGCAATTGCAGCCGCCATCTGAAGCATCTCCACACACAACTTGAACTGGTGGACTTCATGCTCGGACAACACTCCATCCATATCGAAGTCCAAGTCGTCCTCGAGTTCGACGTCGCGCGCGCCATGATCGTTGTCAGTCGTCTGCTCGTTAATAAGCGCTTCTGTGGCCGCTTGAAGGTCTCCACTGAGCTCCTGCACCGTGTCATTGAGCACCGACACACTCTGAAGCATGACCCGCTTGGTGGCAATCAAGTTGGACTTGGACAGGGTCTCGAGTGCAGCACAGCCGTCCCAAATGCGCCCCGTGAGCTCCGGCACTCGAGTGAGGTCTTTTGCCTCGAGTCGCTTGGACAGATCCAATACGTTGGCAAAGATACCGTGCACGCCAGAGCACAACTCCTTGGTCAGCGCGTACCCAGCGCCAGCGAACACCGCGACTTTCAATGCGGACAGGAGTTGCTCGCACGGTTGAAACAGCGTGGGGCACACCGAGTACGAGTCTGGGGTCACCTTTTCTTTGCCCAGCACCAGCGAGAACTTCGTCACTGCATGCGAGATGGACCCACCCGCCTACCAAGCCATCACGTGCAATCGATTCATCCGATGGGCAGGCAGCCTACCGCGATAAGCACATCACGGCCCAGGCTGAAATCGCTGTTCTGCTGCCAGAACGTAGCCTTGAACCCATGCTGCTGATTTTTCGCTTCAATAGAGCGCATGTCATCCAGGAGGCCTTGCACCCCGACGATCAACTCGTCCATCGCCCGTCCAATGATGCCACCAAGAAACAGTGCCAATCCTTCTCCGAACATCCGGATAATTCAAAACGTGCCATGTTGTGTGCCATGCACATCGTGATCGACAAGTCGCCGCGCTGTGTCTGAGGGTCGCGCCATCTCTTCCAGCCCATGCAGCATGACCTAAGTGCTGGTGCGTTGTGCATGCACGTTGTCTGGACGTGTGGGTGCAAGCTGAGTGGTCGAGTGCACGTGGCGACGACCCGTCGACACTAGAGTTTTCAAGCATGGTTCTATGGAAGGCGCGGATGCTCTACCCCTTTCGACTGGCGTCCACATCTTTCTACATGTTGGTTTCGCCCAACTTTCGCTGCTGAAGTGTCGCCAAATGCCCCGAGGACCCTTCATCGTTACACGACTATCGACTCGTTGAACAAGGCACCGTTCCAGAACTACCGATCGATCAGAGAGGACACTGCACGGTCGAGAGAGGCGTCACAAGCACGTGAAGGGAGCCGACATGCTCGTCGTGGCCAGTCGCGACGGCTCCCCCCTGTAAGTTGCCGTGGTCAAGGGCTCTCGAAGGGTGAATCGAGTGTCAAGCCAAGAGTGCATTGATGGAACGATGGATAAGTTAGGAAATTGTGTGTCTGTGGTCCACGATGAGAGGGCTATGTTCTGAGGGGGGGCGACTTAGCTTCGTGCTGCTCGAACAACGAAACCTGCCTCGACGACGTTGGCGAGTCCACCTGTGCGACCATCATGCCTTCTAGAATGGCAAAAGTGGAATCGCTCAAGTCGACGTCATGGTTGAGGGAGAGCGGATGGGGCTGCTGCCAAGAAGTGAACGGCTTCGACGGCACCATGGGCGAGATCACAGGGGGTGGGGATGAAAAGCTTGTCGCTCTTGTGCACGTCGCATGAGACGACCCACATGCAGGTATCCTCCTCCAGGGAAGCTGGGCGGCTGGGAGGTACATCGGGCCTGTCGTAAGATACGTTGCGGGGGTTGATGGCGGAGGTAGCGCTGGTCGGAACAGCGGCGGCACGTCAAACAAGTCGTCTACCACAGATTCCAAGCAGTTGGCAATGTCTTGGGCGGCGACTACTTCCTGGACAACTTTGCGCTTGATCTGCAAGATTGTGTCCTCGATCTCGTCGACGACGGCGCGACGGTCGAGCTCCCCTTGTCTCCTCGGCTGAACGCAGTGGAGTCGCTTGAGGTTGCCGCGCTGAAAGTCCACGTGGCTGTACTCAACGGAAACCGCCATGTCCTTGGACGTTGCGCGGTCTGGCCGAAACCCGAACCGAGCTAGCTCGGCCGTGAACTTGGTCCAGTTCGAGTGCCCGAAGTACTTTGGCAGCAACGTCGATGCAAACACCTGAGGACAGACTATCACGAACGAGAGACTGTCGGTGGCCCACGTCGCGACGGACGAAGGCGACTCCTTCTCGAGGAGGAAGTACAACGTCTTGACGAAGCGGGGGATCTTCATCGCAATGTGATGCGCTGAGCACAGGGGGGACAGCGACGAGGTGAAGAGAGCGCTTGTCGCGGCAGTCAGCCAGGCGAGTTGTTCAGTTGTCGGCCAGGTGGCAGCAGAGTGTAACGCGATGCGATTCTCCGTATTTTGAACGTGCGAGAACATTCGAAAGATTGGTACAAGAAAAATTGATACTTTTAAGTCTTCAACGAATCCATCTGATACTTGGGAAAATGCAGACTTTTCGTATCATTCCGAAGAAAATCTATCGAAAAATGCTGCTCTCCGAGCGTGTCGTCGAGCGTTCCGACGTTGGCACACACGGCGCGGCGACGCCGAGGACACCGCTTGGCAGTCTACTGTGAAGGCACATGCGACGACCACCAAGAGGTAGTATTGACTCGAGATCTACGGCAGTGACGATGGCGTTCCAAAGGACCAGTTCGAGGACAAGACAGCACGGACAGCCTGGAGCGTGTACTCGACATCGTCTTCGGTCACGTCGAGATGCAAGGCGGCTCGGATTTGATTCCCGCCCTTGCCATATCCCCCTACGACGAACCACAGGTTGTGCCACCACCAGGGCATGGTTGGTGTGTACCTCCAAGCAATACGCCATGCTCCTCGTCGAGGTGAGCGAGGAAATCCGCCGTCGCCATCGAGGCAGGGTCCAGCGAGAAAAACACCAAATTCGTCTCGACAACGTCGATATCGACGACGATTCCTGGAATTTTGGCCTACAACATTCACGACGGTGCAGGAAGGGAACACGAATGTACCAACCAATCCGTGCGCCAAGTGGAGTGCATTCGCATGGTCACTCGCGAGTCGGTCGATGTTGCCGAGCGCGATGAGCCCAGCGGCGGCAATCGTGCCGCTCTGGCGCATGCCACCGCCCAGTGCCTTGCGCAGTCGTTTGGCCTGTTGGCCATCCATTCAGCAACGTCCAAGTAAGGGAATGGCGCCAGCATGGACTGACTGCACGAGGCAATGTACACGTACGTGGTAGATGAACTCTTCCGAACCAGCAATAATCGATCCGACGGGGGCTCCGAGGCCCTTGCTCAAGCACAAAGAAACCGAGTCGACGGGGGCCAGCATGTCCGCGAGGGACTGGCCGAGATACACGCTTGCGTTAGCCAAACGAGCACCTGGGAATTCGATTCGTGACCCAAACCATGATGAGAGTCTGATCGACCTACCGTCAACATGGAGCTTGAGATCTCGCCGGGCGCAGAGGTCGGCGATTGCAGCCACAGAGTCCGTGGAAACGACGCGACCACCGCACGTGTTGTGGGTATTTTCAACCACGACGAGCTTGGTCCTGATGTCGAATTCATGCCATGCAATCAAGAGGACGACTGGTAGTACCGTGGAAAGTGAGGGTCGTCGGCACGAATGGCGGCTTCAATGTCGTCGACAAGCAATTCTCCGTTCGGCTGATTGAGCACAGTGTGCATGCTCGCGCCCAAGAACGCTACGTATTTACAAGTATGAGGCTTTGACATGATCACGATGGAACTCGCACCGCTCACGCCGCCACCTTCGTACTTGAAAACATGCGACTGGTTGCCGAGAATGACCTCGTCGCCACGGTTGCAATGCACTCCCACAGAAATGAGATTGCCCATGGTTCCTCTACATAACGACATGCGCAATGACCAGGACGATGCTGGGGAGCGATTTGTTCAAGGCAACGTACGATGGCACAAACAACGCGGCGGGCTTTCCGAGGAGGTCGGCGGCTGTTCGCTGGAGCTCTCGCACAGTCGGGTCCGTACCATGCACGTCATCCCCGACGACGGCCGACGCCATGGCTTGGCGCATGCGGGCACATGGCCGTGTCACGGTGTCGCTGATCAAGTTGACCAGATTGCGATGGACGCGCATGGTGGGCATCCGACCAACGTCGCGTGCGAGTCACACAGAAATACATGTCTTTCCACCAGGAAAGTATCACTTTTGCAAACAAAAACGAAAAATTCGTGTCACCTCTCAAATGATACAGCATGTTCACGTAACGCATCCTGACAACAAAACAACTCCCACACGTGGCTGCGAACCGTGGGCACTGCGGCTGTTCTTGTCGAATCAAGATGCCACAGCAAACGGGCACACCAGTGGCTGCATCCATTTGCAAAGGAAGAGATCGAACGAGAGTTGCCGCGTGATGACTTGTCCACCACCGTGCTCGACTGTGCATTTTCTGGGGCTGTTTTTAAGGAAATGCTGAAAAATCAGTGTCATATATCAAAAATCGAACACAACTGGACCAATCATAACCAAACTTTGAAACAACCACATGATGGCGGCAAGGTTGAGCGCGCGTCGAGTTGTGCGCGGACCTGCCAAGCCACGAAGCTTCTCTCGACCGCAGGACGACAGGGTCGTGAGCGAGACGTGACTGGAATGGCGATATTGGCAGCAGAACAGATATCCAGGCATGATGCTTCTATCATGCCTTCCCCACGACTCTTTCGCGACCGTCGTTGCGAATTCCGCCTTCTGAACGGTCCTTTGGACGGTACATGTAGTTGTCATGGGCACACCATACGCTGCAATGAGGATGGGGCACCGTCCTTGTGCAACTAATCATCCAAAGGAGGTGCTGCACACTTTTTTCTCGTGCCTTACGTTAGCGGCATTTCCACACTGTGGAGGGGTCCATGACCCACCTCGTCATGGTTCGTTTCCACGTGGCCCCAGGCACGCAACAGGAGGGCTGGCAACTCATATCTGGATACAGCGATCGCGCTCAGCAACTTGCTCGACGGTGGCGTTGGTCGCACGCGAACCCAACGTCCATCTAGAAATCGTCGGTTTGGAGGAGTTGCTTGAGCTTTCGCTCTTGCGATATCCGAGCGTGGATGTCGTCGAGGCGCTGGCGTTCTTGCGCGTCCTGGAACTCGAGCGCTGCTTGAATCTCCATGCATTGAATGACGCGGGTGCGTTGGTTGGCCACCACCATGTCGGTGCGCTTCGATCGGATCGACTCGTCGACTTTGCGCTCGGCAACTTTGGCAAACTGGACGCGCTCCATGGGCGCCACGAACGCGGCCACCGCGCGGTCTTGCGTGCGATCTCGCGCATGGCACCGCGTGAGGCCGACGGTCTTTTGTCCAAAGTTCTGGGCAAACTGGCGCTGTGCCTTCTTCCGCGTCGCCAACGCGACCTCGACCGCCTTGCGCTGCTTCTTGACCAACAACAACTGCGCGTGTTCGTACGCCGCGCGCTGCAACTGCGCGTCGATCTTGATCTTATGTGCAGCGATCATTGCTGCATTCTCCCTCGCGCCCATCTTGCGCTCGACAACGACGGCTTGGTGCGCTCGTTCGGAGAGCCGCATGCGATGAAGAATCGCCGCCGCTCGTGCTTCCCCCGCTTCATCGGCTTTGATCGCGCCATCGACAGCGTGGAGCATGCCTTCAAACTTGGCCTTGCGGGATTTCGCCACGTGCTAGCACCGATGTCACATTCTCATGAAACAACGAGATGCCACAAACCGTCGACGACGCTGACAGTGCATCGGGCGGTCGTCGAGGGGTGAACTGCGTGTTGGCTACAAGCACTTGCTTGGCCTTGAGCGCGAGAGACCTGGCATGGTGGAGCTTTGTTTCGAGGGCTTCCGACTCGAGTCGCACGGTGTCCGCTTGCTGCTGCTTGAGCAAGTGGAGTTGGTACGTCGGGTCGACGTCTACCTGGACCTGGACATGGTGCACCACCATCGCGACGGTGGGGCTGCCTAGTCGTCCGCAGCTTTCCTCGTTGTTCGTCTCGATGTGCGACGACAGCAGCTGACTGCAAACGGACGTCGACGCCGCCGTGATGTCGCTGGCGGAGAACGCTTCGTTCGCTCCAGGCACGGTCGACGGGCGGTGGCCGCGCTGCAATAGCATGTGCTGGGCGCTCTCCACTTCGCCGGGACTGTTTTCGCCATGGTAGGTGTACGCGTCGTGATGGTAGCCCCATTTCGACGGTATTTCGAGGCGTAGTCGCATCCAGTCTCGGCTAAAGACGTGGCCCTTCCGGCTCATTGCCTAGGGCAACCACACGATCGACCACACTCGTCGGCCCTCGACAACATACTGGCTTGTTGAGCCAGACGTAGCGCAGCATCCCGACCGTGTACAGCCGCGCGTACGACTTGTGTCGAGCATCGTACGTCTTGACTAAGAGCATCGCAGCGCGGTGCCGCGCTTCCGTGACGGAATCGAATTCGAGCTTGACAAACGTAATGCCAAACACTTTGTTCCATTGCATGTCGACCGGGTCGTCCCACTTGAGCAGCGCCACGTTGTCCTGGAGGATATTTCGGCACGCGGCAAAGTGGCCAAAGTCAACGTCGCTGCATCGCTCGACATCGTCTAGCGGAGCCGGTGCGTCGACGGCGTCAGTCACGACCGACTCGACGCAATAGCTGGTGACGATCAACCCAACCTAACGCAATCCACCATGTCGCTGTCAGCGCAGGTCCTTTCAACCCGAAACACGACGGAACAGGGGCAAGCACCGGTCGATGCAAGCGCTTGGTAAACCCGTTGACGTCTCGACTACATGTCGAGGAGCTGCACGAACCTGTTGCTTGGACACTTGCTTTTCCTCCCGCCCCACGATTTCATGTTGTGGCTTCGAAGGCAGCCACAGTGGGAATCCAACCCGCTCGAGGCCGTTTTCGACGTAAAACGTGTTGAGGTACGCCTGCTTTTCGTCTTCGGGCAGTCGGGACAGGCTTTCTTCCAACGTGATGGGCATCCGGAGCTGGCGATTCGAGAATTTGAACTTCCATTCGTGGCTCGGCATCCGTGGCATCGTGCTCAACGCGCGCTGGGTCAGCGACGGGTGCTTGAGCGTCATGAACACGCGCTCTTCGATGTACAGCACGCTCGAGTCGATCGCGGCCACAAGGCGCACGCATGCTTCGTACATGTCAAGCCCCCACGTCAACGTCGACAGCGTTCGCCACCACCTACCACCATCGAATCCATTCGATCGGTCACCACGAATGTTTATCGTTCGAAGCGCTGTACCGCTGGATGCACAAGATCGCCCGCCGCTGCAAAAAGAGTTTGACAAACTGGCACTGCGTTCGCGCTCGATACGACCGATACGTGCTTTGCAAGATCGTCGCGGCGAGAAGTTGCGCCATGTCCCGTGGCGTGTATACCAAGAGCGAATGGTACCGATGGGTGTGCTTCAGGAGGTACAAAATGCGCTGGTGCATGGCGACACTAGTTGGAACAAACAAAAAGACTTGGTCGTACGACTTCCGAGGGGCCAACGGCTTGGGCCGCTCGACAAGATGCCTACGTAATGGGTGACCCAGCATGTAACGAGCCGCGACACGTACGAGTTGCCGCGGGGGCGGATGGGCAGCGATCGCTCAAACAGGCACGGCGTTCGACGATGGCTTTGCATATACTTGAGCTTCTACACCGAAAAAAAGTACCAGTGGAGGCACGTGTGAATCGGCGTACCTGTTGTTGGAGTTGCAGATTTGTCGTGAGCCAAATGTGGCGCTCTTGCATCTCGGCTAGCTTGCACTGGCGGTGGTGTCTGAGGAGGGGAGAGTCGGCACGCATCATGGCGCTGGAAAGCCTAGTTTTCAGCACGAGGTCAATCATTCGCAATTTTGCGCCATCGCGGAGGGACTGCTTGGATGCCATTGGCTCAGACGATCAGCGCCAGCCATGCTATACATACCTGTCTACATCCTCTTGCACAAGGCTACATTCCGCTTGGAGCATGACGAGGTGGCCTCGTGTTGATGTCCGTGGAAATCGAAAAACACCGTCGCACTTGGTGACCTTGACGGCGCGCTGAACCCACGATTGTCGATGCACATGGCAAAAGTTGTACGTGGACGGGCGCAGGATGGAAATTCCCGTGGGAATCACGCGGGACGGCAACATGGTCGCATCGATGCCCAATACCTACTCAATTCGGCGTCACGAGGTGCGGCTGATGTAGAGCCAACTGTACGCGTGCATCGAGGGCCATGCTGGTGGCGGCCGCGTCCAGGATGGAGCCGATGCTCGCGCCATCGCAATATATGCGGAGCTGGTCACTGGATGACAGCATATCTTGCTTCAGCCGACGGGACGCCGCAACGACAGACTTGAGCCACGTTTTGACGCAATTCATGGCCTTTTTGGCGCGAACATGGTCACGTCGGGCAATCCAAACCGCCATGATACGTGGTGCAGCGCGGTATCGCTGGAGTTGCCACGTCGGCAGCAGAAGCATCTCTTTATGTAGTGGCACGAGCAATTGGTGCAGTTGGCTCTACAAGGCAACGCATTCCACCACGTCAGTGGATAAACATCGAAACAACTGCACATCTGCGGATCGTATGGATCGAGGAGAGCTGTACCCAAAGGTGCCGCCGCAGCCACGATCCTCGATACGTTCGCTGAATTGTTAGGACCGCATGTTGAATGATTGAAAACGGCGGCACTTTTGACGTGCGGCTCTTGTGTCCTCGCCACACTCGCTGGAGAATGACCACAGGGCTGCGACACAACAAGTCAGTCTGCGGTTTGTGCAAAGCTTGGCATTCCATTCCGACAACGTGGGTTGCTTGCCCAGCAAAGACATCTTATGCCAAGAAGATGGGCACCTGTTGTGCTCGGCCAAGCGCTTCATTGCGATCAAAACCGCGTCGAGTGCAATCAAGAGCGCGTCGTTCGATGAGACTCCCCCTGGACTGTTGCGCCATGGGTGCCACAGCCCCAACGCCATCTTGTCATGTTTTGCATGAAAGCGCGGCCCAAAATCTGGTCATTCAATATTTGTGAGAGAGCGATGGCCCAACAGCGTGACCCCTTTGACGTACGGGCGCGCTCAATCTTTTCTTCGTCCGTGATCACATGGTCGTCCACCGCCAGCAGAAACGGCATCTACACTTGGGCAAGCGCATGAGAAGCTCGTGCATGGTAGGAAGGATGAGATACGATACTCTCTACCATCACTGCCCTGGCACAAAGGTAGGCTGAATTCCGACGGTAGTACCTGGTTGACGATGACAGCGCGGCAGGAAGGCTGAGCGGCAATGGGGTTCCCGTCGATGCGGAAGAGCACCAACGACAGGCACGCCTGGACGCCGTGCACGTGCTTCCACTTGGCCAAGTGGTTGTGGCTCACGTCAAGGACGCTTAACTTTGTGAATGAGGTCCAAAATGCTGTCGACGGCAACGTTTCGAGGTCGTTGGACGCGACGTTCAGGATGCGAAGACTCGTGGCGCACGCAGCGATTGCATCCAACGAAACAATCTTGTTGCGCTGGGCGTAGATCATGCACAATGATGAGAAGGACTCCACTGCGATGCGCTGCAAGCCGACCGTGGCGAAGCCGTCGAAGTTGGTCAGATCTTGGTTTGAGACTTGCAGCACGCTTGTGAGAGTCGCCGACTCACCACGCCGACGAGTCCCCGCGATCTGAGTCATCGACTTGCCACGAGTAAGCCTACTCGACGAGCCCACACGAGTCATCGACGGCATACGCGTCATCGACGGCATTCGCGTCATCGAAGGGGCTCGTGACATCGTTCCAGTATGCGGGTGGGTAGGTCGCTGAGGAAGAATCGATCCTTCGAACCCCATGCGACTCAAGCATCGTTCGCCATCACCGCGCTGTGGATCGTCTCTGTGCTCGTCCCCGCCTTCGTTCGAGTGCATTGGTGATATTGACGAGTTGCTTGAAGACCCCCATGAAGATTGGCCGCCTGAGTTCATCGGCCGCTCCGCCACTGCACGCACTTTTTTGAAAAACGGCGCCGTTTCGATTCGAGGCATTCGATTCGGTTCAGTTGAACCGAACCGTCAAAGTTGAGAAAAACATGAATTGCGATTATATCTTGGTGTTTGTATGTGATATATTCAATTTTCAATGTCGTGAACTTCCATTTAATCACTAGATTTTTGTAGGCGAATGTATGGTACATTTTACACGGTAATGGAATTTAATGACTAGGTACTTGTATTAATTATATTAAAGACAATTTACAATTCAAACATCCCACCACCACGATATGTTTGGGCGGCGGCAACAAGCTGCACCGGCGGCGGGCCCGTCAGGTCCACTGCCATCCACATCGAGTAGAAAGAACTCCATGATGTTCCATGGCACAACAAGCCATGCAACTTCGTCTCCTCCATCCATCGTCGAGAAGAAACGAACGGTGTCTGTGCACTCGTCGCCGCTGTCTCCTCGTCGTCCACCAACCTTGCACAGATCTTCTTCCATCGACCTCACCGTGCTATCGGAAGACTCGACACACGCCCACCACATTCTCCAGACCATGGATGAATCTGACGAAGATGCACATGCATTTCTTGAGCATTCTAGGCAGGGGCATGTCACGTTCCATCGAGTTCAATTGCCTGGCCACGAACTCGGATTCTTCGCCGTGGTTGGTGCGACTCACCTTGTGCTGTGGAACTCTCACCCCGTGCACCGTGCGATCGGTGGCAAGGATAGCCCCGCGCTGCATTTGCAGACGTTGACGACACTTGCGTTTCCACCGGAGATGACGCCGTTGGCGGATAGGGCAGATCCCCACGTTGTCCTTGCTGCCACGTCGTACCACAACGCGTCCAAGATCTGTGCGTTACTCATCTCACGAAATGGCCGTATCTGCTTTTGGGACGACATCAGCAGCAGTCGCCACCACGGCGGGTCCTCTGTCCCCGTGGTGACCCGTCTATCCATGGACGACTCCGCTGAGTCCGTCGTGAGCGCTTCCTCGCAATTCCCCGTCATCGCTGCCACAACGTCTCAAACTTTGTGGGAAATCAAACTCGACGACGACGATCGATCGTCCCTTCGCGTATCCAAACTGCGCTCTCGTCGACAAGGTCTGTGGTCGCATGTGACTCGCTTCCTGACGTCGTCGACACCGTCACCCGTTCTCCTTACCAAGTCCATCCCAACGTCATCGGAGCTGCTTGTACTTCACGTGGACTCGACGCTGACGCGGTGTGTTGTGGCAAGCAGCGCGAGCCACGAAGCGCTGTGGTCGTTCCAGTTATGCGGGTTCCTCATGGATTACTTTGCCCAGCACGAAGATGGCATCTTGGTATATGCACAGTGCCTGGCCTTACCGTTCGCCACTTCGACGCACTTTTCTCTCGTGGTGGGCTTTCAAACCGGCACGAATGTCCTTTTGTACCTGTTTGAGTTTTTGGCGACAATGGCCGACTTGCCGCAGTACCGCCGATCCCTCCGCGTTGGCACCGTCCCATCCTTGGATCAAATTCAAAGCGTGCCAGTCAACGACCAGAGTTTGTACTTGGTGACGCCGACAACGCTCTTTGCCGTGTCTGTCCCGGCGTTCCCAGACATGCCGCTGCACGTGCATGCAATCTCGCTGCCACATCCCATCGCAAGCGGCGTCGGAGTCCTGCACCAGTCGCTTTTGTACCTCCATACGCAGCACCAGCCCCCGTCTGTGCGACAAATCCGATCCTTTGAGTGGACTTTGACGCCGACAGACTCGATCCTGCCGGACCCCAAACGATACAAGGTAACCGACAAACACTTTGCTTCGACCACATTGGATCTGCACCAGCACCGCAGCCTGGCCGAGTGGAAGGCGGTCTTGGTCGATCGATTCCAGCAGTTTGACATCTCGACCGTGAGCTTCCACGTGGACCTGTCCGCGTCGGCGTTGCCAGGCGGTCTGTCGCAAGCTGTCGTGGAATTGGCGCATGAAATTATCGATGCGAAACCAGCCACGGGGCTGCATTGGGGCAAAGACCAGGCTGGCTCGGTGTACGCGCCGCAGCTGGTCAAATACCAGCTCCAGGAAAAATCGACGAGATACCGCCACTTTCTCCGGTTCCTAACGTCCACAGGGTTGCTTGCAATGGTCCAATCGAATGCCCGCCATCAACTCGTGGAGTTGAACGAAAAACTGGTGGCCGCGACGGCTGCCCTGGTTTATGCTGAAGACCACGATCAAGTAGACCAAAAGCTCCTTCGTGCAATGCACGCCGTCTTGGTCAACCACCGCGGGTACACCACGGACCAAATGGATGCCACTGGGTTCAGCGTGCTGGACTTGTTCTATGGCGACGTCAGCCACGTTCATCAACTCGCAATGGAATGGCTGCCCGACACCAACAAGTCCGCTTCCAACCAACCCAACGTGATCGTTGCCATGCTCCAAGCCGTCGAAGCCTGGCGTCGTGATCAAGACGTGCTCGCCGTGGACGAAAGTGTGGGTGAGATGGATCCATGGACAGCGCAGCCCGCCATCCGCACAGCGTGCCGACGCATGCTGCAAGCCGGAGACCGGACTCGTGCCTTGCTGATGCTTGTGCCAAACATGGTGCCTTACATGGATGCCGAAGAGAAGTCGGCATGGGCCAAGTTTGTGCTCGTGCCTTTGGTCGCCTCCGCATTGACGCCCACTCAAGATTCCGACACATTCCAAGAGCTCGTGGTGGACTTAGTCTACTCCTTTGAATTCCTTGAAGGCATTGCAGTGCTATCGCCGGAACGCCGCCTGCATGAGTTTATCGAAGGCGCGCGCCCTGACATTGCCACGTTCTTCTTTCAATGGTATGCTGGGTTAGTCTCGAATCCATGGGCAACTCCTTCGTCTCCGTCGAAGAATTCCCCATTGGATCTCAACTCGCTCCTCCATCCGCCGTCGTCGCTCTTGCCAGCCTTGTACGCATTCCTCAAGGTACTCGCCATCGCGCCGCCGAATGCTCTCTGTAATGTTTCTCATGCTTGCGTTCTTGCAGTCGCAACGAGGGTCTAACTTGGCGCAGTATGCGTGGATGGTCGCTGTGCAACTGGACAAGTTCGACGATGTGGCGAGCTGTGCATACGCGGATGCCACAGCGTCGAGTGACATCTCGCTGCAAAAGACAATGCTCAGTATTGGCAAGTTGGCCGCCCTGGCAACGCAAACTCCATCCACCGCCACGACGACTCCCCCCCACACATTCGATCGAGCAGTACGTGCACACTCGTCATGCCTCCTTGCTTCAGGACTGTTTCTGCTGTGTGGGGTCCATGCGTGTGTGAATGTGTTTTGAGTTTAAAAAAATCTCACGTCGCTGCCGCTAATGTAGCTTCTGCGAGTGCGTGTTGAAGAAGCGCTTCAATTGCCGCAGTCGCTGCCGGTGGATCAAGTGCTTCAAGCTTGTCTGGATGAAATGGCCAAGGCCGTGGCACCTGCCGCCCATGACACTTTCAGTCATGACGGCGACAAAACTCGGTAATGCTTGCAACCCATTTGTTTATGTGACTGAACTCGACGCAGTAGAGTGACGCATTGGATCGGCTTAGCATTGGACGTTGTGCTGTCATGCGAAAATGACCGCGGGACTTTTGATGCGTTGAAGCGACAATTTTGGCGACACGCCGTGCGAGTCGACGCTCCGTTGTGGCAGCACATTGTGACGCTGTATAGCTCGTGCACGAGTGAAACGGAGGTCGAGCATGCGATGCGCACCACCGTCGTGTACTTGGCAGGCAACCACCACCCAAGCACAAAACTCACGCCCGACCTCATCGATGTGCTGGTCAAGGACCCAACGTTGACGGGGATCAGCATCAAGGCACGGCCGTTGCTCGTGAAGACGTTAGCGCTCGTGGACAGAACGCCCCCTTGAGC